TTCTGCAGTGAATCAAAGAATATGTTTGAATTTCATAAATACATCTCAATTTCATAGCCTCACATTTAATAACAGGAATCAAGACTATTCAAAGTTCTCTTTGAGGGGCTTCCCTGGTGGCGCAGTGGTTGAGAGTCTGCCTGCCGATGCAGGGGACATGGGTTCGTGCCCCGGTCCGGGAGGATCCCACATGCCGCGGAGCGTCTGGGCCCAGGAGCCATGGCCGCTGGGCCTGCGTGTCCGGAGCCTGTGCTCCGCAACAGGAGAGGCCACAGCAGTGCGTGGCCCGCGTACCACCAAAAAAAAACAAACAAAGTTCTCTTTGAGCAATCAAAATTCAAATAACAGACATATAGCTGCTATGGGGTAGGAGACTGTGTATATACTCTGACAGAACTCTCTTTTCTTTCAATGTTTTAGGTACTTTTTCTTTCATAATAGAAATGCTTTTTATAAACAATCTTAAAAAATACAGAACTACAAAAGACAAACCAATAAATGATAAAACATTACTTTTATTTCCAGTACTCAGACTACTTTTATTAGCATATTGGTGTATTTCTTTATTATTGTTATTGATGTATATGGACATGTAACATTACATCGGTTTAGGTGTACAATATGATTCCATATTTGCATATGTTACAAAATGATCACCACAATAAGTCTAGTTAACGCTTGTCAGCAAACATAGTTATAAATTTTTTTTTCTTGTGATTGGAAACTTTTAAATTTGCTCTCTTAGTAACTTTCAAATATGCAACACAGTATTATTAACTACACCATGCATACATTATACATCCTCATAATTTACCTATAACTGGAAGTTTGTACCCTTTGACCCCTTTCACCCACTTCATTCACCTCCTACCTCCTGCCTCTGGCGGCCACCAATCTGTTGTTCTATGAGCTTTTTTTTTTTTTTTTTAGATGCCACATATAAGTGAGATCATACAGTATTTGTCTTTTTCTGTCTGCCATAATAATACCCTTAGCATAATACCCTCAGGATCCATCCATGTTGTTACAAATGGCAGGATTTCATTCTTTTTTATGGCTGAGGAACATTTAATTATGTGTATGTGTATACCACCACTTCTTTTCCCCTTCATCTATTGATGGGAACTTAGGTTGTTTCCATGTCTTGGCTGTTGTAAACAATGCAGTGAACACAGGGGTGCATATATCTTTTCAAATTAGTGTGTTCACTTTCTTCAGATATATACCCAAGCGTGGAATTGCTGTATTACGCATTAGTTCTATTTTTAATTTTTTGAGGACTCTCCATAACGTTTTCAAATTCCTATTCCCATCAACAGTGCATGACAGTTCCCTTTTCTCCGCATGCAAATAACCATCTGTTATTTCCTGGGCAGTCAATTTCCTGAGTTGTTCAAGGGTTGGAGTACTAACCTTCTGCACAGTTGAAAATCTGCATATAACTTTACATTTGGCCCACCCCATCCAAGGTTCCGTATCATGTGGTGGATTCAACCAGCTGTGGACGGTGTGGTGGATCTGTTGCACATGTTCAGTGAAAAATACTCATATGCATAAGCGTGGACCCGTACAGTTCAAACTCGTGTTGTTCCGGGGCCCACTGTCTTTTTGATAGTAGCCATCCTAATAGATGTGAGGTGATATCTCATCATGGTTTTGGTGTGCATTTCCCTGGTGATTAATGATGATGAGCGCCTTTTCATGCACTTTTAGTATATCTTCCTTGGAAAAATCTCTCTTCAGATCTTCCCATTTTTTTAATCAGATTGTTTTTTTCCTATGGAGTTGTATGAGTTCTTTATATATTTTGGATATTAACTCCTTACCAGATAAATGATCTGCAAATATTTCTCCCATTCATTTTTGTCGATCATTTCCTTTCCTGCACAGAAGGTTTTTTGTGATGTAGTCCCACTTATTCATTTTGCTTTCGGCGTCAGATCTAAAGAAATCATCTCCAAGGCCAGCATTAAGGAGCTTAATGCCTGTGGTTTTTATTCTACGAGTTTTATGATTTCAAGTCTTACGTTCAAGTCTTTAGCCCATTCTGTCATTTTTTGTGTGTAGTGTAAGAAAATGATCCAGTTTCATTCTTTTGCATGTGGCTGTCCAGTTTTCCCAACATGATTTATTGAGGAGACTGTCCTTTCCCCATTGTATAGTCTTGGTTCCTTTGTCATATGTTAATCGACCATATAAGTGTGAAGTGTGGGAGTGTATTTCTTATCACTGTTTTTTCTAGTCTGTTTTTTTTTTGTTTGTTCACCTGTTTCTCTTGTACATAGTGGAAATTATTTCGCTTAATATTTTTATATAAACTGTAAAACATACCAGGGAGTGAGTAGTGAACCTTCTCTTGACACGTCAGTGGGATGCTTACCAGTCCATACTGGTATGCGTAAGGAAGGAGGATTCGTTCAGTACTTTGGCAGAGCTACAGACTGGAGCACACAAAATTGTAAGAACTAATAGCTGCTGAGCATTTCAGGTCTAAATTCCTTGGCATGTTTCCCAGTGAATTGCAATGAAGGTGTGCACGATCGTCCGCTGCTAAATTAAAAGGTTCTTGGAAACCAAGTGCCTAAAATACTAATAACCATCTGGCACTTTGCGAGTTGTTAGATAACTAATTTTCTGGGTGACTGTTTTCCAAACATGTGGTCTCATTCCTTCCTTTTAACCTCCTCCCATCCCACTTTCTTCATTTCTGAGCATCCTCCAGACACTGTGAACTCCTTTCTCTAATGTTCCCGAGCACTGTCTTTGTACTTACTGCCTGAAATACTCCGTCTTCCCCCACTCCAGCACTTTGCTTTTTGCTTGGAAGGTTCCATGTTCTTTCACTCTCAGACTGAATGGTGCTTGCTCAGAGAGGATGTCCTTGATCTTTTATAAAACAGGTCCCTGTGCCAGGAAACCTTTTTAGGATCCTCTCCCTCTGCACCAAGACTCCATTTACCATTTGACCATCCTTCACTTGGAGAAGAGGGTGCTGAGAAACCATCATAATGCCCCTAAAGTATGGTACTGTAAGATTTGAACTATTACAATCCAGAGGTGATTTCTATAAGTTACAACAAGAGAAGGGAACAAAAAAGTGTTGTTCTATAGAGTTGTGTGTGTGTGTTTTAACTTTCTCTGTCATGAGAAATGAAGCATGTATGCCTACAACTCTGTAATATTTCTAGTAAATAGGAGGCGGTCTCCCTCTCAGAGCTCCAAGTGAGGAAAGGAAAGCTGGAATTGGATGTCATTGCTGTCAGTCATCTGAGTGTAAAAGAGGGCGGCCGTTTGCCTCTCCCAGGGCACCTGTGATCAGGCTGTGTCCCCAGATCTCGTCCTTTGACCCGCTTCTCTTCTTTCATCTTTCTCAGGCTGTGTGTAGAGGGGTGTATGTGAGTGGGGGAAGTGGAAGAGGAAGGGGCTTCACTGTTTGGACTTTTGCAACAAAAAGGAAAAACTTCAAAAGCAGTGAGCTCAAAAAATCAGTGCAAATATTATGGGTTCGTTTACTTGCTTTAAAAAGTTACTGCTAAAAATAATTGGAACATTAATGAAAAAGAACCCTTTTGACTAATGTGTGTTCCTTGGTGTTCTACATCTTTTACTCCCTGCCTTATAAAAATAGAGCTAATTAATTTAAGTTCTGGCAAAGAAAAGGGAGGATTCCCTGATCTTTGGCCAAGAATTCCCCTCCACTACCACCAACATTCTCACACACTCCCCACTCCCAAGCAAGCTATTCTCCCTGACATCATCTGGTGTTTTTCCGTCCTAGTTTTCATCAGAATTTAGAGTTGTGGTGTTCTTTTATCTACATGTTTAATGTTTGCCTCTCCCATTAGAATGCAAGCTCCACAGGGGCCAGGTCCTTGTTGGTCTTGTTCACCCTTTTACCTTGTCTCCTCGGGACCTACCCCAGTGCTTGGCATATGGGTGGCGATCAGATGTACATTGAATGAATGAGCAAATAATGATTTATACGAATCCATTTTTTAAAGTGTATTTTTCAGCTCTGTCCCACTTGTTTCATTTGAGGAAAAGGATTGACAAAGTACGTGGGTTTCTGACAAGACCTTCCCATTCATTCAATAAACACTTGTTGAGTGCCTGTCACTAGGTCAAGCCCTGGGAATGCCACATGAGTAAGACATGATCGAGGCCCTCCAGGACCTCAGAGACCAGCAGAGGGAGAGACACACGTATGTAAATAACTGCAGTTCTTTAGGAAAGAGTGTAATAGAGGCGTGTAAACATGACCCATCAGTACAAGGGGGAAGATTTGAATTCGCCCAGAACATGAAAGTTTTCACCCAGTCAGTGATATTTACACTGACCCTTGAACAGAGAGGGGAAGTTTGGCTGGTTAATTACCAGGGAGAAGAGCGTCCCAAGCTGGGGATGGGGTCAGAGACGTGAACATGAATGGCATATTTGGGCAGTACTGTGTGTTTTGGGGGTGGATTGTGAATGCTGTGCAATTTGGAGTTTGGATTTGATCTTAAAGGAGCCAAGGAACCTGCTTAAGCCCAGAAGACATAGCATACGTAGGGTTCACTGGAGAGGAGTCCATGTTTTGGTTAGAAAGTCAAACCATTCGCTGCGATCACGGGCATTTTGTTTTCCATTAAAACAGCCTTAATTTAGAGTTCATAATGTATCTTTCATAGACAAGTTTTAGAATTTCATAGAGATATTTTGCTCGCCATTGGTAGCTGTTTTAAAATGTATTTTCCCGATAAAGACTTTTTCATGTATTTTATGTTGAATTTTAGAAACTTTTGAAACCCATTTTTTAAAATTGTACCCACATGAATGTTACAGTATAAGATCTCTGCAGAACAGACTTCATGAATCTTCATGTGAACTGTGATTAAATATTTTGGATTCTTCCAGATGAGTGAAATACCTAGGTCTTTTCCCCCTGCCCCATCGGTAAAGGTAATGCTTCTTTGTCAATGCCTCATCGAAACAAAACAAAATGCCTCTCTCTCTTGTAGTTCCGCGGCAGCCTTCAAATGACTTGTTTGAAATATTTGAAATTGAAAGAGGAGTCAGTGCAGATGACGAAGCAAAGGACGATCCAGGTAGATCCCTATATTCTTAGGACCGTTATGATGACATTTTATTTTTTCCCTCCATTTCATTAAAATAACTTTTAAATTGTAGATTGTTCGGTTACATCTGGGAAAATTATACATTTTCTTTTACCACTTGGTTTCCTCTCTAGTTAAATCAGTTGAGCAAAAACTGAATCATCATTATCTTTTTAAAAAAAATATAGAAAAGCAGCATTTAAGCTGAGGAGGAAATCATCTTTTATAAATGATGTAAGAAGGTCATAATTTGGCAACAGTTGTGTGTTCTATTTTTACAGCTGAGCACTGATGCACAATTGTGCTGAGAAAGGATTCATGTGATTTCCTTTTGGTCTCATGAAGAGACATTCTGGTGGGATAATTAAGTGCGGACAGGAGAGAACACTTGTACAGATACCCCTAGTTCACAGATTCATTTTTGTCATTAGCTGTTGGGTTTGTGGTCTACTCATGTTTCTGGTTATTTCCTTGCAGGTGTTCTGATACACAGTTGTAATTTTGACCATGGGCTTTGTGGATGGATCCGAGAAAAAGACAGTGACTTGCACTGGGAACCAGTGAGGGATCCAGCAGGTAAAACCATTCATCTAACCCTAGTACACGTTTCGGCTGGATCCTATCTGAGGAACCCAGTTGTGCTAATCAAGGATACTATAACGCAGCTCTGTGTTTACTTAATAGAGAGGATAAAGAAAGCTTGTCCAGCATTCATCTTCTGTTTTTTTAGGTGATCTGAATTTGTTAGCTATCAATTAGAATTTTAAGTAGACAAGCAGTTTATTAAAAGCCCAGCTAATTTCTCTCAAAAAAAGCTTTGTATATATAAAACATGTAGACTCATTCTAAAATATAATATCCAAGTTACGTATAGTGCCCCATTCCCAAGCATAAAAATAATATTGTGGTACAGCAGCCATCATAGTAGCCTGTGGTTGTTTCCTTGATTATGTCTTTCTTTTTTAAGATGTAGCAGAAGGAGACAGTGGAAATCCCTGCAAAGTTGTGAATCTCTCTCACAGTCTAATTTTCAGTCTAATTTGGATGCTGGAGAAATTAGTTATAAATTACCACCACTTATTCCACAAGAGAATGTTATAAGAAAGGGAGATTTAAATATAGTCCCTTGGAAAATTAAGACTTTTAAATTGCACACTTCCTATGGATCTATAAAGTTTCAGAACTTACAATATGTTTTGTCATCTTATTTCAGGAAGCAAAGCGACATATTATTGTTGGTTTTTTACCCTCCCTGTCGTAGTTAAATCTTATATGGGTGAGTCCAACTTAATGGAAGGGTGAGGAGTTTGGTTTCTTTTTTTCCTTTTTATACTCCTGATTCTAGACTTAGAAATGAAAGATACAAGACATGAAGAAAAAGTATGTTATTTGTTTTTAAAAGCCTAGTTCCTAAATACCATCCCAAGTGTACAGATAGAGCACAAAACATGTAAAAGTTAACTTGAGGATATGCTCTGTTAAAACCAGCTCTTCTCAAAGGTCAGTGTGCACACTGGTCAGCTGGAGGCCTTGTTAAAATGTAGATTTTGATGCATTTCTCACACGCTCCTTGGGGATAATTTTAGGGCTCATCCTTAATGCACATGTTGAGTAGCAAGTTATTAAAGAATTCGTGCAAAAATATATTCATTAGATCCCCTAAGATTGAAATGTTAGAGATATTAAAAAATGAAAATTTGAGGTAAGCTTTTAAAAAATGAGTATCCAACAAACTCAAAGGAGTTTTGAGATTACTTTTAACTATAAAATAATTTTTAATGCCCCCCCCCACACACGCACACACACCAGTACACTCCCTCTCATTCTCACTTTCATGTTCTCCCTCTCACTTATTTAAGGTTAACTCTGAGCCAGACCCCATTATTATTAATATCATAGATAACTGTGAATAAGAGAGAAACCAACATTTATTTAATACCAGCTACAGTCCTGACTCATTCATCATCTCAGTTTTATCTAATCCTCTTATCTACCCTGGGAAGCAGGTAATATTGTTTTTGTTTCACAGAGGGCCAGAGGTTACATCAGTTTCCTAAGGCCACAGAGCTAAAGAATGGACTTCCCATCCAGGCCTCTCTGTACTGCCTGTGCAGCCATCTCAGCAGTTCAGTGCCCACAACATCAGAAGCGTAATTCTGGGGTTTTCACTACGCAGTCTGGCCTCTGTGTCCTGGTTGTGTACGTGATCCGATTAGCAGATCTCAGGCCTGTAGATTTGAGTGACCTCTGACCTGGAGTCGTGTGCTACAGAAGGATCTTCAGCAGCCATGTGTGATAGAATGGTGAATATGTTCATGGTTGTAATGAATAACTCTTTCACGTAAGGTATACACTGGGGAGAATAATTCATGCTAAAGTCGGAAGAATTCATTGCACTTCTCTGTAGACAGTCTATGTAAAATGTTTGAGCTTTAGAACTTAAATACTATCTTTTAGAACCAATTTAGTACTTTTCAACAGTTTCTATTATTTGTCACATATGTAAATGTTTAAATTTGTTGTGACACCAAATCCAATTGCCCTCCAATAGAAAAATGAGAAGAGAATTGACAGAGTGGTAGACAAAAAAAAAGGTTTGAAATGGTTCTTTGGCTGTGATAATACAGAACAAGTTGAAAGGAAGTGGTGGCTGCTTGTGATTGGATAGCTCCTGGTGATTGGCTCCGGCCCCTCAAGGATGCTCTTCTGGGGTTGCTCCAGGTTTTTACCAATAACTTGGATGAACTGGATATTGAAGGCATACTAACCAATCTGTGGCTAACGTGAAGCCAGAGGAGAAAGCGACTGTGTGTGCCGACACAAACAGCATGCAAAGATTAGATCAATGGGTCCCACTTAAGAGGGTGAAATCTACTGGGGATGAATACACGGTGTAGCTTATGGTCAAGAAACCACCTACACAGCTGTAGGAGGGGGAAAATGTGACTTAGCAGAAAGTGTGAAAGACTTAGACTTTTTGTGGGTAATAAATCAATATGAGTGAACCCTGTATCATTGCTGCCCCAAAGCTGGGTCATCTCCATAGAAATAGATATTTTTTCCAGCACGGAAAATACACTTTGGTAGGTTCTTACCAGTCTGAGAAGTATAGAGGTAATTGTAGGTCACTCAAAAGAGAATGACCTGGATGGAGAGGTGTCTCAGAGCCTGTAGAAAAACAGGTGAGGAACCCAGAATGTTTAGCCTGGAGAAGAAATAATGGAGCGGGGCAGCTTTTCAAATACAAGACCGACAACATCTATCTCAGTTGTTCAATGATCACAAGGGGATAAGAAGTCGGATCAGTAGGTGAAAACTACAGGGGGATCGATTTTTGCTCACTCTCAGAACTTTACCATAGTCAGAGCTGTCTAAAGAGAAATCAGGCGGCCACGGAAGCAGGGAGCTCTCTGTTGGTGGAGATGTTTGACTGGGTGACATATGACAAGATGTTGTTTTGAGAATTAGACAAAGGGTGGATTAGAAAGCCTCTTATACCGGCTCTGGGAGCCTCTGACTCAGAATGGAATGTCCCAGGTATCAGTGAGCAGGGTTCTAGCTTGGAGAATGGATGGGAAGACCAAAGATGGCAGAGATTTAGTTAGAAGAGGTAGGAGGGCATAGCTTATGTCAGGGCAGAATCGTAGGCGGGCTTTTTAGAATATGTCGGGGAGTTCTAACCATATACAGATTCTGACATATCCAGATGGAGAATGCTAATGAAGCTTACTTTCCGTGCCTAGTTTTCTTCTAGGCAGTTCAGGTGGGGTTATGTATGTATCTCATGCTAAGGCCAGAGAAGGCTATAAGCAATTTCATCAATTATTTTTGTGTATCATTTTAACTACCAAACTAATAGTTTGCTTGTTTCTATCTAGATTATACCATTTCTAAAGGAACATGTTTGGATTTCCACGTATGATTTTTATGTTGTGCATTTCTTATCCAAGATCCAGATTTGCAAATATTCTTATATGCTAATATCGCTAAAAAAACCTTCCCTTAAACTTTTAACTTTGAGAAACAGCTGCAAAATAAGTGCATTTGCTAGTCACCTTCCTGGTGCTCATTAGGTTTTGTTATCACATTCAGTCTTAAACTTACTTGCGAGACAGTGAAATTAATCCATCCTCTAGGGAATGGAAAATTGTGCTCCTGACAGATGTGATAATGTGCTACAGACTTATAGCTGTGGCCCTGAACACACGCCCTTCTCCTGTAGTGTCAAGGCTAAACTTGGGGCCCTTTTCCTGGAACCCTAATCTCAACCGACTCAGCACTCTGTCGGCTACTGGTAGCTACAAGGAATTCGTTTAAATATAAAATATGCCAGCGTGTACGTACAACTATGTCTATTGCAGCATTAAGAAACATTGTTTTGAAATACATGAAAATGGAAAAATAAATCAACAGTGAAAATAAAAGCTCCCTCCCAACCCTGGGCCCCAGTCATCCTCCCCAGATGCAACCAGTTTGTTGGTTACCTTTCCAGAGAGCCATTTTTCCTCACAACAGCCCTCTCTTCTGTACCTTGCTTCTTCCACTTAACAATATTATCTTAAGAGTTAACCTGAGTGTGGACCTGCTATAACACAGGGAGCTCAGCTCGGTGCTCTGTGACGACCTAATGGGTGGGATGGGGCTGTGGGAGGGAGGTCCGAGAGGGAGGGAATATAGGTATACATATAGCTGAATCACTACACTGTACAGCAGAAACTAACACAACATTGTAAAGCAATTTTACTCCAAAGGAAAAAAAAAAAAAAACGTGAGTGGACTTTGAAGCCAGAATGCCTGGGCTGAAACCCACCATCACCACTTACGAGCTTTGATCTTGAGCAGGTTACTTAAATGGGGTCATCAGTAGTGTCTAGTAAACGTATGTAAAGCATTTAAAGCAGTCCCTGTCCTAGAGTTACCATTAAAATAGTATTAGCCATTGTTGTCGAAGATTGTTCTGTATCAGTGCGTACATAACACCTTCATTCTTAAATGAATGGCGGTTACTGCATCACTTCTTAAACGTATTTAACCAGACATCCATTGAGGGACGTTTCAGTTGTTTCCAGCCTTTTGGTAGTTCAGACAATGCTGCAGTTAGTAACCCTGTCCAGATATCATTTCATATATGTTTGAAATTAAAATTTTATCACCTATATATCTGGCAACTGTTACAGGATCTATTATTTACCAAAAAACAACTTTAGATATTGTGATGCTTTAAACTGAATCCATGAAAATATGTAATTTTTTATTTAAACCAGTATTTTGGAATCAGAAGTGAAATTTTTATTTAATAGGTAATTCGGAGTGCTAGATCAATTTTTCCCTTAGCTACTGTTCCAACTTTGTAATACTTCCATTTATTAAAAAGGGAAAGAATTCTTCATGGTAAAAAGAAAAAAAATCCTAGTGGCCACAGAGTAGCCCTATAGGGGAAGAGCAATTGTAACCTCATTTATAGTTTTAAAAATCTATATAAAGTGATTATTTGACTCTTTTATTAGGATGTCTTGGTTTTTGTTAGGTTGTCTTGCTGCAGGCAGCGTCTGGCATAGTGATATTAGTATACATTCCACGGGGATTTAAGATAATCCTTGTTTTCTTAAAACTTGCAGGTTAACTGTAATAACCTTATATCTTAGTCTTAACCAAAATACCTGTGATGATTCAAAAAGCTGACTAACGGAGAGACGTTCTAAATCCATCTAAATATTTTGGCTCAAAATATTGTTTGGATTAATTTGGGGAAGACGGGGGTGGAAGGAGTACAAAAAACTGTGTTTGTTTTTGGTGAGTCAAGTACCTGACTCAGGATCTATTTCTCTGTTGTTTTTTGCTGTCTTCTTGGAATGTCATGTATTCAACAAATGGCATTAAACTCCTACCATACGCTAGGAGTGTAATGGGGTTTGGAGAGAGGTTGGCTCTGACATCAAAGAGTTCACAGTCTCTTTGACTGCGGGAGAGAAACGTGTAAACCAGTGATTCCTGTGCTGAATAGGGGTTCAGGCAGTTCTGAACTCAAACTGTTACTCTGCTGCCTACTGGCTGGGTGGCACCTTGGGTGACTTCACCTCTCAAAGCCTTAGGCTTGTTTTGCAGATGCAGAAGCTAGTAAGCGTTCACTTCAAGGGCTTGTTAGCAAGGTTAAATGAGATGCTCCCTAGAGAGCCCTGGTACAGAACCTGGCCCTCACAGGTACACACAACTCACCTATTTGGGCCTTTAAAGGCTCAGAGGAGACTTGGTAGAGGAGAAGTCACTTGAAGAATAGGACATCCCAAACCTTGTCATGTCTTGTACAGATTAAGCATAAGGAATGCTTTTCAATGAAAGATAAGTGGGGTTTCTACCAAAACAGTTACAGGTGTTCAGCATTCCAACCACATTTTTCCTATGGATAAGTCAGTGTTGAGACTACAGTGTGTTTTTCAGGTGGCTGCAATAAAACAGCCTGAGGGGAAGGTCACTTGTACTTGGACTGAGTTTCAAACTACTACTTGAAACTTTCTCTTGAGAAGCACCGTCCCCCACATCACTGCTGCTCAAACTTTTTTTTTCCCCTTAACTGCAATTCCTCTAACAATAGAGGGAAGCAAACTCTGGAGCCCTAGGGATCCAAGGACATCATCAAAGCGACCTTTCCAAAGGGAAAGATTTTACTAACATTTTGTGTTCATGTATGTGTAATGGAAAATTTCTATATCAATTATATTGTTATGGATTTGTATTTATATAAAAAATCTTTTAAACTGCTTACCTCCAAATATTATTGATGCTCCAGGCAGATGTGGCAGGTTTCCAGAACACTTCTGCATCTTCTTGAGGTCAGGTATGAGAAGCACAGCAAACTCGTTTTTAAAGGATCCTTCTCCCTTTAGAGCATTGGTCCCCAACCTTTTTGGCACCAGGAACTGGTTTCTTGGAAGACAGTTTTTCCACGGACTGGGGAAGGAGGGATGGTTTGGGGATGATTCAAGCGCATTACATTTATTGTGCCCTTTATTTCTATTATTATTACTTTGTAATATATAATGAAATAATCATACAACTCACCAGGAGGCAGAGCTCAGGTGGTAATGCGAGCGATGGGGAGCGGCTGTAAATACAGATGAAGCTTCGCTCGCTCGCCCACCGCTCGCCTCCTGCTGTGCGGCCCGCTTCCTAACAGGCCACGGACCGGTACTGGTCTGTGGCCCGGGGGTTGGGGACCCGTGCTTTAGAGTTGTTTTTTTTTTTTTTAAGAGGAGAGAGGAGAGAATAAACAGATCTAGTGCCCCTTTAAATCACCATCTGCTTTACTGCCAGGAGACAGAAAATCCACCTAGAAAATTCTCCCTGGTAACTTCACCACCATACCAGCCAGCCAGCATGACAGTATAATTCTAGGTGCAAGAAGATCAAGAGGTGGTGAATGTGTGTATGTCTGATCATATTTAACTGGAAATATTTATAGTGTTAGGATGACTAATTATTGCCTGTCCCTGGCATAATCTGGACTCCTCAGGAGCGAAGTGTTTTCTGTAAATACAAAACCATAGAATTTAAGACAGCCATGGACCTAAGTCCTGTTTTTCTCCTTCGAAAACCTGGAATTCTTTACTGATGACGGGCACCGTCTGAAGTTCACTAAAACAAGAGGAGCGACATGCCCGTCCCCGCCGTCACGCCAGCAGGGACCTGGGCGCGCGCATACACGGCCCTGCTTTTCCCCTGCAGGTGGACAGTATCTGACAGTCTCGGCAGCCAAAGGCCCGGCGGGAAAGGCCGCTCGCCTGCTGCTCCCCCTCGGCCACCTCCTACACTCAGGGGACCTGTGCCTGTCGTTCAGGCACAAGGTGACGGGGCTGCACTCCGGCACGCTCCAGGTGTTTGTGAGAAAACACGGTGCCCACGGAGCAGCCCTGTGGGGAAGAAATGGTGGCCACAGCTGGAGGCAAACGCGCATCACCCTGCGAGGGGCTGACGTCAAGAGCGTAAGTAGACCCGCCGGGGAGGCAGAACCGGGGAGGGTTTCCTTTCAGAGGAGAACTCTGGGATCTGCGGTGGACGCCTCCGTCTCTTCCTGAATTTAGGCGCAAGGCTTGTGCCTTGGCCGGGCGTGGTGACCCCATGCGTTGCCTCTTTCTATACCCCCTCTGCCCCTTCGTACACATTCTTCGTGGCAACCTCTGACCACTGTCACTCTTCCCACCCTGGTGAATAGCCCCTATTTTTAATGAAAAAAATTGTAGGAGTTGAAAAAGTGAAAAAAAAAAGTTAACAGAAACTTCAAAGGATGGTGGCGGGGTACCTGCTTTTCCTTTTCCTTAAATTCCTTGTACTTCAAACTTTGACCACCGTGAGTTACCCTAAAGTGGTTTTTTTGGGGGGGAAATGTTTCTTTAAAGTCTTTGTTTTCCCTTTGCCTCAGAGATCATAGTTAAGCAGCCTTGGATGGAAACTAGAACAATACGCTTGGAAAGTATTATCCTATTCAGGACAGGAGGTGGGAAAAGCTTTGATTGAATATATAAATTTTATCCTAAGTAATCAAGTCATAGGTAGCAATAAAATGATCTATAACACCCCACTGAAATAGTGAATGTATTTGGAAAAAGTGTCTTCTTTATGTTGATCCTAATAAAACAGTTATTAGGAAATTCTGCCTCTATACCTATACGTATAGTGTCTAGAAACTTTTTAAAAGAAATAATAGACTCCATGAAGACAGCTTGTATCAGAGTCTTGGATTTTGTTTTACTCTGTTTCTCTTTCTTAAAATTTTTCTTAATATTTACATTGTTTGGAAATATAAAAATAAGTTGTTTCATATCCTAACATAGGTTTCTGTTAGATAAAATACAGGAAAGATTTTGGTCTTTACGTAAGTGAAGCAACACTGTGATTGTATTAGGGTGTTTGATTCTATTCCATTTTAGGCAACAAAACTATATTAAATTAACCCAGAGGAGGAACTAGAAAACATCTAAGATAGGCTGCACGATTATGATCTTTCAGATCTTTGGCTCCTAATTTCTACACCTTTATATTCCATCACACTCTTTACTTCTGACCTTGGTAATCTTTGACAAAAGTGTCCACTTCATAATCATTCCTAAATGTAAGTAGTCCATTGTTTAGAATGACTTTTTTAAAGAGTAACTGATTCTGAGCAATGGGGTCTGGTTAACGATTTACTGACGACTTAAGTTTCTACCAGAAGGCAAGCCTCATTGACACTGGCAACTCTGTTCTAGTCTTTCCTTCTGTTAAGTAAGTTTACTATATAGTTTTGGGGAAAGTTTGTCTTTATTTTGCTAAACGAGCAGGCATTGGAAAGGGGCAGAGGAGGCTTGACTGGTGTGTACGTTCTCTCCCTAGGTCATCTTCAAAGGTGAAAAAAGGCGTGGTCACACTGGGGAGATTGGATTGGATGATGTGAGCTTGAAAAAAGGCCACTGCTCTGAAGAACGCGAGCAACTCCAGAACTAGCAATGAACCCCATGTTGCTCCCTTTTCTTTTTCCAACCTTCACCTCCTGTCCTTTCCTCCCTCGTATCAGGCCTAGGAGAAGAGTGGGTCAGGAGAAAGTCTGGTTGGTGACCCACATCTTGCTGGCCTGCTTTTGTGCAATCCCAGTGAACAGTGACACCTTCCTTGAAATACAGGGGGGCATCTGTAGATGTGTCCAAAGCCATCTTTGGGTGTTACCTTTCATCCTTTGTCTCTTAAGAAGGCCTTCAGTGTGTGTGACCTATACCGTCCTTCATCCTGGTTACAAGGTGTTCCTTGTAGCAAATTAGAGGAGAAGTTTTCAAAAGAAATCTGTGCAAATGACCATTCTGTTATCTGTTCAGTGTTGTACCACAAGTAGTATTGACTTCCCCTAAGATGCGTTGTACAATGTGCTTGTGAAATTGGTTTCTCCTCTCCACTTGGTAGTTCTGGTCTGACCTGAACTCTGACTTTTACTGCCACTCACTTTATAAAAGAAGGGTATGTAGCATATCAAGATGCGTTTATTCTTGTTATCTGTATTTTTCTTTTAAAGACAATTATGTAGAGTGGGCACGCAATCCTCGTTAGTAGTACTGTGTTTTGTGTAAATGTGTTATTGGTATTAAGTAGTTATGTGTTCCTAATATTTACAGACTCTAGTTGCAAGGGAAAGGCAGCTTATGATCTCTTGAGTTAAAAAAATACATGGTGGAATGGCATCCAGTTCCATGACCTTATATTGGCAGCAAGAGAAAATTGGAAGAGGTGTCTGTGGTTGTAGGGAGATGAATTTTTTAACGGCCTTGAGTTTGATCACTACAAAGTAATAGACAGGAAACTGTAGTTAACATGTAAAACCCTCACTGTTTCAGGTTACACTTTAAAACCAACAGCCTTTACCATAACAACATGGTTCTTTCTGGTAATATGTAAGAAGCTTTTGGAAGTTCTGGTTGTTTCAAAGAAAAGCTTCTGTTTGTGGAAGCTTGGTGTGGGGAAACATGGGGGAAGCTCCGTTGAAATAGATTTTCATACTGACTTTTCAATGAGTATAAATTTAGGCAGGTCTAGATCACAACTTATGTGCTGTTGTGTCAGGAAGGGTTGGGAAGCGAGTCTCATGCTTTGAAGCATCGGACGTGCTGGAATGGGATTCTCACACACACACACTAAATCAACAGGACAAGATTGGAATTCTAAGATCTATGAACCCCTAACTATATTTCCTCCCTGCAAAGTTTACCTTTAGATTTAAACAAAATACATAACTTTTAAAAGGCAACTTACTCCTGAGGCTTTTCTTTATTTCCAATTAAGTAATCAAACTATTTTCTGCTGTTTTTGCCAGGAATCACAAAGATGATTAAAGGGTTGGAAAAAAAGATCTATGATGAAAAGTTAAAGGAACTGGGATTATTCAGCATGGAGAAGAGAAGACTGAGGGGCAAACAACGGCTGGTTTTCAAGTATATGAAGGGCTGGTACAGAGAGGATGGTGACCAGCTGTTCTCCATATGCACTGAGAATAGAACAAGAGGAAACAGGCTTAGACTGGAGTGTGAGGGAGCATTTCCTGGCAGGGACGGTTATTAAGTTAGAATCCTTTGTCTAAAAGAAAAAGTGTGAATTTTTTTTTGAGGCTTTTTAAAAATTTGATAACTTTTTTTTTCTATTTAAGATGGTTAAAGACATTCTTACCTCAAGGTAGAGTAACATTACAGAATCTCCCCGAAGATGTTTTCATCCTATTACTATGTAATGAAAGTCTCCAGAACTAAGTAACTTGGACCAGGGCTAAGGTCTAATTTAGGTACTTCCCTCTTGACCGCCTAATAGCGAGGAATCAAAAGGGGAAAAGCCACCAAATGCTGAGGTCATGAAAATGTCTCTCCCTTTATGGCAAACCCAGCAGTATTTAAAAAACAAAAACAAAAAAATTAAAAATTTGTTTGTTCCAAAAGAGTATCATGGGCAGATATTTTAGTATCTCAGTAATGTCTTAATGTGGTGGTATATATTTCTTTTCTTGGTAAAGGTATATAACCCTTTCACTTGCTTAATGGGTGATATTTCAGGTTTTTAAAGAGACCATAACAAGGGACACAGTTTAGAGAGATTTTTATCTGGTGCATTCTCTCTGCAACATGTGTGACAGCTTAATTTGGCTACTGAAAAAGAGAGTGCCATGAGCAGCACCACTGCCAGGACCTTTCCTTCTCCTAATGGTAGAAGTTTCTCTTACCAATGGGAATCTCCCAAGTCCCACAAAATGGTATTGTTTGGGGAACAGTAGGTACAATAGACAACAATAGGTCTTTCATCATTTAACTTGGTGGATGCAAGGCCAGAGGGGGATATAAATCAGTAAGCCTTTGAGTAGGGGCCAGAAAATATGGCTTTAGATCCATTTTTTAATGATTCATTTCCTTTTCGGTCATATAACTGCACAACTGGTGATGAAAGGGGAAAATAATAGGAAGTTTCACTTTTAGGTGCCAATAATGCATTGCACTACACTGATGGAAGAAGTTATCCAAAGTACTGTATAACATCTTGTTTATTATTTAATGTTTTCTAAAGTGAAAAATGTTAGTGGTTTTCCAAACAGCCAAACAAAAATAATTCTTTATAAATAAAAACAATAATACCAGTTGTCTCTTGTTTTTTTTTAAACTGGAAGAATTATCGAGGTGATTTGATTTTTCACAAAAGCCATCTATAGTATTGCTTTAGTTATGTTTTCTCAGATCTCATTTAGTTGTAAACATTTGCCTCAGATCCTTTTATATAAAGGCAGGATAAGTAAAGATATAAATATATATGAATTATAAATGAAGTCTTTTACTAGTGTTGATTTTGTTAATTTATGACATTTTACTCATATTCCAATAACCTTTCCTGATGGAGAAAAATAATTATAAGGAAACAAAATTAATGAAATCATTCAAGATCAAAAATGAGTCCTCCTACAGAATTATAATAAATAGAGAATATGCTTAATGGCGTCTTTCCTTCCAATACTCAGAGAACCCTTAGTGGCAAGGAAACTCAAGTTTTGGATAAATACATACTTTAAGCAAAAGGTAAAGAAAAACTGCAGCTTCCTTATCTCAGAGTTGTTTCCTTATCTCAGAGGTCCTTCCTAATCATCCACGGGAGATTTGAGGAAGCTGAGGTTTTCCAAATATGTTAAGTTAAACCTCTTCTGAAACTGAGGTGGGAGGAAGCAGATAAAATATGAGATCCCAGAGTCCAGTTCATCTATTTACTTGACAGATTTTACAGCACTTACTGTGTGCCTGGCTCTGGGCTACAACAGTAAGCAGACTCCCCTTTGTGGAGCTTCTATCTAGAGAGGAAGATGGACATGTATCAAAATTATATAGATAAATGCAAAATTGCTATTCTGAAAACTGGCATACTTTGAAGGCTCTGAAAGTGTGGTGGGTTCCAGGACGTTTGGCCCATTTTGAAAGACAAAAGAGTTTGTCTTTCAAACTCTAATGTGCATGTGTATGGGAATCACGTGGAGATCTTGTTAAAATGCAGCTTATGATTCAGTGGATCTGTAGTGGGACTTGAGATTCTGCATTTCTAACCAGCTCCTGGGTGATGCCCATGCTGCTGGTGTTGGGGCCAAATTTGGATTACAGGTCCTTAGTGATAATACACTGAGGAGCCTGGGGCCTTCATCTCTGTTAACATTCATTGCTGGAAGGCATAAAGGTCCCTGGTTGCAAGATCTACATTCACAAATATTCACTAAGTTCCAGTGAATTTTTTCCTTCAAAAAATGTTTAGGCTTAGACAAATAGGGAATATCAATAAGTAGACAAATATTATTTTAAAAGAACAGAAACTACGGTTATAATAGTACGATCACTAAAATGAAAAACTGACCAAGGTATTCAACAGCAGATTTGAGCTGGTAGGAGAAAGAATCAGTCAACTTGAAGATACGTCAGTTGAGATTATCTAATTTGAGGGAAAGATAAAGCTTCAGTAAGGATAAACAACTAGACTTGAGATCAACAACAGAAGAGTTGAAAAATTCTATAAGCCAACCAGACCTAACATCTGTAGAACACACCACTGAACACAAGAATATACATTTTTCTCAAGTGCATAGAGATGTTGACAGACATAAATTAGGCCATAAGACACTACCTCAAATTTAAAAGAATTGAAATTATATAAAATAAGTCCTTCCACCACAGTGGATGAAATTAGAAATCAGTAACAAAGGGAAACTTGAGAAATTTACAAATATGTGGAAATTAAATAATGTGCTTCTAACCACTGGCTGAAAGAAGAAATCACAGGGAAATTAAGAAATATTTTGAGGTTAATACAAATGAAAACATACCCAAACTTATGGGATAAGCTAAAGCTTTGTTTATAAATGCCTGTATAAATTATATTTATAAATGCCTATAAATTATATTTATAAATGCCTATATTTAAAAAATCTCAAATCAATCTAAACTTCAACCTTATAAAACAAAGAAAAAATTAAATCACAGTAAGCAGAGGAAGGAAATAAAGATTAGAGCAAAAAGAAAAATGAAGTAACAAAAACAATATAGAAAATCAATGAAACTAAAAGTTGGTTCTTTGAAAAGATGAACAAAATTTATGAACATTTAGCTACACCAAAAAAGAGAAAAAAAGACTTAAATGAACAAAATCAGGAATAAAAGAGGGGACATCATCACTGACCTTACAGAAATACAAAGGATTTTAAGGGAACACTATGAACAACTTCATGTCAACAAAATAAGATAACCTAGATGACATGGACAGAGTCTTAGACACAAACTATTGAAACTGCATCGAGAAGAATAGAAACCTGAAGAGACCAATTGCAAGTAAATAGATTGAGCTAATAATCAAAAACTTTCCACAACAGAAAGCCAATTCCCAAAGAGCTTCAATGAAGCAATGAAGTAAACTGACTATTTAAGAATTAGTACCAAGTCTTCATCAACTCTTTAACTATATGGAGGAGGATACACTTTCCAACTCATTCTATGAGACCAGCAAATAGAAGAGTTTGGAGATTACTGCCATCTTAACAATATTAAGTCTTTCATTTCATGAACATGGGATGCAGCAAAGGCAGTGCTCAGGGACTGCAGTAAACACCAATAAATAGTGAAAAAGAAGATCTCAAATCAATACCCTAAATTGATATTAAGGAACTAGAAAAAAGATGCAAATTAAGCCCAAAAATAGCAGGAGGAAGAAAATAATAAAGACATGAACGAAGGTAATGAAATAGAGAAAAGAAAAACACAGAATCAACAAAAGGAAAATTTGGTTCTTTGAAAGGATCAACAAAGTTTTAAAACCATTAGCTAGACTAACAACCAAAAAACCCCTAAATAATTAAAATCAGAAATGAAACTGAAACTACTAACCTTACAGAAATAAAAATAAGAGAATGCTATGAACAATTATATGCCAACAATGAACAATTATATGCTGACAAATTAGATATTCCAGATGAAAAGGACAAATTTCTACAAATTAAAAAAAAACTCAAGAAGACAAAATCTCAACAGGCCTATGACAAGTAAAGAGAAGGAAGCAGTAATCAAAACCACCCAACAAACAAAACTCCAGGACCACCCAGATGTCTTCACTGGTGAATTCTACCAAAATTTAAAGAAGAAATAACAACAATTCTTCTCAAACTCTACGAAGAAATAGAGGATGAGGGACACCTCCTAATTCATTCTATGAGGCCAGCATTACTGATACCAAAGCTAGATAAATATATAACAAGAAAAGAAAATACAGTTGACCCTTTAACACCTCGGGTTTGAACTGTTGGGGTCTGATTATATGTGGATTATTTTTCCAATGAATACACACTATAATACTGCATTATCTGAGGTTGGTTGAATCCATGGATACAGAACCACAGATACAGAGGGCCAACTATAAAGTTATACGCAGATTTTCAATTTCCCTGGGTGGTATTAATGTGCCATTAATCCCTGCATTGTTCAAGGGTCAACTGTACAGATCAATATCCTTTATGAATACGGGTGCAAATATCCTCAACAAAATACTAGCAAACTGACTCCAATAGCACATTAAAAAGATTATATATCATGACAGGATTTATGCCAGAAAGGCAAGGATTTATGCAAGGAAGGAAAAAGTGGTTCAAAATAAGAAAATCCATCATTCAGCATTTTACTGGATGTTCTAGTTAATGCAATTAGACAAGAAGAAGAAATATATTGGAAAGTAAAAAGTAAAACTATCTCTATTTGCAGATGACATGATCCTACATATAGAAAATTCCAATGAATCCACAGAAAAGCTACTAGAGTTAGTAAACAAATTCAGCAAAGTTGTGAGCTACAAAATT